AAGTACCAAATAAGTCTAATATATATAATTTCTAATCTACAAATCTAGGTGAGCCATGGCCACCCTAGTTGGTTTAGACCGCAGATAAACTAGTCTGAGTTTCTTTTCTTGCTATCACATGATATGAAGTTTAAGTAGTAATTCTTTTCTATATAAAAGATTTTAATTAAATTTCAATAAAGACAGAGACATGACATGGTCTTACCATTAATATTCAAAAAAAAAATAAATAAATAAAATTTAAAGTATATACTCTATTGTTTAAAGCATATAGGGTCTTTGCCTTGAAAATTAAATATATAACATATGATTTACTATGTCTTATAGCTTGATTTTCAAGGCAAAGACCCATATATCTTATTTTTTAGGGTATAATTTAAAAAGTGATCTTTTTTAGATCATATAACCTCTATTTTTAGAGTTTAGGATCTATTTTAATGTTACGAGGACCAAATGGAATATAGTAAAAAATAGAGGATATGATATAGAGGGTGTGAAAAAATGAAAATTGCCTTATAGGATTTTTATATGTTTTGTATAACAATCCTAATTGTCATACTCCTATTTGTCACAGGGTCCTGAGGGATAACCTATACTATATTTAAGCCAAAAAAAGTATACAGTATATGCTATCTTTTATTCTAGTTTATCTTTAGTTTATATATAGTTTATCTCTAGTAAATATTCAAGGCTTTTGTGGTTTTGATAGCATATTTTGATAACTTTATTGTATGTAACTTGTGAATAAATTAATTCATTGCTTTTTATTAAACTTTAAAATTTAAATTTTTTATATTCAATAATAATGCTGTTGAGTAACAATATATGCCATTTTTTTTTATCTCTAATAAGGCAATAAATACCAGATTTCTACGAAACAACAAATAACACACATGGCGTTACTGTATATGCGTTATTTCACTTTCACGAAATTACGGGTTTTTTTTAAAAAAAATAATAAATCATTATAGATAGATATATTATGTATTATGATATTATTCGAATTAGAGGAGAGGATTCTAACTTACTTTCTTAATTGTTTGTACAATAAAATTCTTTTTAACTGATTGATTATTATCAACTTTATTTTGTTATGGAGTTTATTCAAGAAACAGCTTTCTCAATAACTTTAGGTGTTTCGACTCACGAAAATACATTAGTATCAACTTAGTTCAAAACTGATTAGAGAATTAAAAATGTAGTATTTAGCTCGGTAAGCTTTAAACATCTAATTTGTACAGTATACAAATTTTTATTATAGCTGTTTTCAAAAAGGTGTGAACAGATACCAATAACTATATCACGAGAAATTCATGAAATTACCTAGATTTTAAAGCCAGCTCTAATCGGATCTTCAATTTTTACTAATGATAATTTCTCAATTCTTCGATTTTCCACATATGTATATGGAAATCGTTGTTCACACCTTTTTGAAAACAGCTGTAATATTTTTGAATATATACGAATAGATTGCAGAAATGACTAGTAAACTTGTAGAGTATCTATTTGATATAGTCAAAACACATCTTCAAGCACAACTATTAAATTACAAGATATTCAAAGGACTTTTAGATTGTTTTAAACAGATGATAAACCATAAAGAGCTATGGGAATTATATGGGTAATTATTAATATAATACTCTTTAACAAGTTTCGAAATAAATTATTGATCTCAATTTTTAATTAGGGTATATCATCTCCAATAGTGGGAGCCATGCTTGAAAATGCAATGTTATTCCTTGCATATAATTAAATTTAATTGATAATTAAAGAGTATACAATACCAGCATATAAATGTTATTTATTATATAACAAAAACTCAGTGGATGAAATATCGCTTGACATGGGTCAATTGTGTTTTGCTGGAGCATTATCAGGAGCATTAGCATCACTCGTGCTTACTTCAGTTGAATTAATTAAATGCAAACTACAAGTTCAAGAAACTTTTATATACAACAAATCATCAGCATTAGTTATTGAAATTAGCTATGCCAAATCCAATATATACAGAACCATTATCAATTATTAAATATACATTTAAACAACATGGTATACGTGGATTTTACTGTGGATATTCAGGAACACTTATTCGAGAAACCAATGATGAAGCTGTATGGTTTGGAACTTATGAATTCGTTTCAAAAATGTTTATACATCAAAAAGCGAAAACAATGAAAATTGACAAAAAATTTAATTAAAAAATCAGATATAAATCCAATACAATTAATGATAGCAGGTGCATATGCAGGGATGGCTTATAATCTTTTTGTGTTTCCAGCAGACTCTATTAAAAGCCAGATGCAAACCAAAGAAAAAATGATGCAAGCTACAGGTAAAACTGTTACTAAATGTGAATTTATTAGAGTTGCAAGAGATTTGTATAAAGCTGATGGGATACCTGGATTTTATCGTGGTTGTGGAATTATGGTTGCCAGAGCAGCACTTTCTAGTGCTATAATTTTTATGACTTATGCGAGTATATGTATGATAATTTTATAATTTTTTTATTATAATTTAAGATTATAAATTTAAGATTATTTCCGGAGCAGAGCAGAGGAACTTAAGTCTAGACAATAGGTGAAAAAAAATTCCAGGTGGGTTCTGGATATAGGATAAGATCATAAGCAAAAAAAATTCCCAACCATTCAATTGATTAGTATTGAAATTGTCAATTATATAATACTGTAGTATATGACATATCGCACTCTAAATTTAACTTTATTTACCATTACTTAGAAGTATATGACATATCGCACTTTAAATTTAAGTTTTATATATGATGCAGCATAATAAATTCTAATTGCTTATAATAAAATAAATTCGCGATAGCGGTTTAATTATAGAAATAAATACCATATATGAGTTTAGTGCAGTAATAAATCAAAATTTTGAGTACTTTACTTTTGAGAAACTTCAACATATTAAAAAATGCTCAAGGATATAAGAACGAATACTTGAAGAAAAGTGACTTATAGATATAAGCCCGATTTTTAATTAATTTCGCATTTAATATAGACATTTAAATTTAATTTATTCTCAGAATCCAGACAAATCAGTTTTAGAAGTTTTATGTGTACTTTTTTAATTATGTATTTTTTTATAGCGTCCTATAAACTGATTTGAAATGTAGATGTAATGAGAACTACTTAAATTTGTGATCTAATAAGATCAATTTTTATATAAATTATATAATTACATCATTTAAAGTGGTTAAAGTGCATCTAAGATTCGATTTTACAGTATTAAAACCTTTATCTTTCATTAGATAGATATAAAAAGATAAGTATATAATTGTTATATGCTTATACTATAAGAATTTTTATTAATATTTTGCAAATAAGACACAAATCACTAACTCTTTCTGACTATCATTTGTACCAAATTTTTCTTAAAAACAATTGCTATTTTCCCAAAATTTTATTAAGTAAACCACTTCTAGCTGCCTAAGTAAAGTTGTTCTACACTTAATTTTACTTATAAGCGGCCTAGCTTTATAGCTCTAAAGCGCTTTGCTTCTGAGTTATAATTATATATTTGAAATTTAATACTCTTGCAATTTACTTAAAATTTTATTAAGTAAATCTCTATTATTCTTTAATAGAAAAAGATTAAGCTCAAAAAGAGCTTCAATTTAATATATTTTACATCTAAAACAGACAAATACTTCAGATTATATTATTAAAATATTACAAAACTCTGTTATAAAACTTTGCTAAATTTTTACAAAAATTTTTTTCTGTTTTTTGGAGAATTCTACCTCCCCTAGGGCGCCCCAACTTGCAGATCAAGATTACAAATCAATATTATTAATCATATTACTCTGTTTCATCTATTTTTATACAAAAAGCCTTATTACTATTTTAGTTCTAATTAACTTTATACAAATTTTGCATT